TCATACCGCCGGGAGAGTTTATCTCGACTCGGCTTGCTGGTGCCTCCGAAGTTCTCGCTGTAGCCCCAATGCCCTCGGTGACATGTTCCATCGAGGCTCCCACTTTTTGGTTTGGCGCCTGTACCAACCGTTCTTCAGCCTTCAGATGCTTGTCCTCGAGGAGGCGAAAGCGCTCTTGCAACTGATGGTTTGCTTGCCACAGCTCTTGCAGCTCCTGCATGGTCTTTTGTCCCAGTGTGCCCTGCTCCTCCTCGAAGACTGCGAGAGCTCGTCTGGCTGTTGCCCACTCTTCTGTGAGCTGTGCGCACCTGTCCTCCAAACTGCGTTTCCCTTGGGCTGCCGCGTGAAACTCTTCCTGCAGGTTCCTGTGTCTGTATACAATGTGGTTATACTTGTCCAACAGCCGGGAGTAGTCTGTCTTTAGCGCTGACAGTGCTGCCTCACACTTAGCCGCTTCGTCCAGCGCAATGCTGTGCTCGTTCTCCATTTCCTTGGTGGCCTTGACGTGCTGCTCGCACAGAGTCTTCAGCTCCTCCTCGAGGCAATGTCGTGCCTGTTTTAAGTTCTCTGCTAGCTGTTGAAAATGCTTGTTGTCGCTGACGAGCATCTCGACTTGCTCCTCCAGGCTGGAAAGTTGTGACCGCAAAACGTCGGCTTCGATTTCTAGCTTTCCGTTGCGTTTTAGGAGGTTGCTGACTTTCTCGTTCACTCTGTTGCACTCTGTTTCTGCCTTCTCGGTAATGGAGGTTCCGTCTGCTTCCGTTTGCGACGAATTGTGACCACTTAACAACATTCTCTCTCTCTCTCAAAGTCTCCGCCACCTTTTCGTGTCTCTGCTGCCAGAGGCGACTGTCATCAGACACGCATCTAATTTTTTCACTCGCATTTTCACAGGATGATTTCCACTCCTGACTTTCTTGAGCGAGGAGCTCGTTCCTAACTGTCAAGGATGTGACCCGTTCCTGGAACACTGCCAGCAGACAATTCAAGCCTTTCAGCTGACTTGCTTCAAGAGACACTGCAGCTTCTGACGACTGGTTGGTGTGCTCGATGATGCTCCGGATAAATGCCCCGATGATGCTCCGGACAAATGCCCCGAGATCTTGTAACGGCCACTGGTACCGGTCCTTTAAGTACTGATAGTTTTGCTGAAGTAGATTGAACTGCTCCTCTTTTTTAGCGACCTGGTTTTCCAGGGCCTCTCTTTTGCGTTTTGCGATGTCCAGCAGCTTCTTGGGGTACTGAAAGGCACTGAACTCTCGTTGTTTGAAATCATTCTCAACTACCGGCAAGTCCTCGCCACATTGTTGAAGAAGGACATCCTGCAAGATTCAGTACTCGGCAGAAAACCTTTCGAGCTCAAGTTGAGGTGCTTCAAACTTCTCCTTCAGCTAGGGTGTCTGCTTCCTCCACCTTGGCACCTACAAGCTTCAACTTTTTTGCCAAATCCCCACTTCGAGAAACTAACTGGGCTTTCAATGCTTCGGACTCCTGATACATGGCATGAGAAAATTATGCTTGCTGCGTTTGCATCTTCCCCAGGAGAGCCGAAGCTGCCTTGCACTTGCTTTGAAGGGCCTGCTCACGGCCAAAGCTCGTTTCGATATTTCTCTCGTGCTCCAAAGACATTCGCTGCATTTCTGTCTTTGCCAACACCAACTCTGAAATCAGGCCTTGTCCCTCTTCGGGGCGAGATGCCAGCATGCCGTTTTTTTTCTTTGAACGCCTCTCCAGCTCTGTCCCAGTTTGCGTAAGCTTGGTTGCTTTGGTTGATGGAAGAGGCCCAATTGTTATGCCTCCCAAATGGATCGTTTCATTGGAGTCATTGTTCATGGATGAGTTGGAAGTTTCTTCTACTGCAGAAACACGTCGATATCCGTAGGTTTTCTGCTGTGTCTGGTTGCACATTTGGGAAAAATGTCCAAACTTTCCACAGGAAAGGCAGCGCTTTCCGGAAGCTGGCATTTTCTGGGTTGATGGGAAGTACCACATCTCGAACATAAACTTTGCTGTCGGTTGCTGGATTGGTCTTTTTGTGGCTCGGATGGTTGATGCCTTCGTTGCGCTGCTCTGAAGCTAGATGGCTGACGATAGAGTCCATCAACTCTAACTTCGTCGTCAGTTTTCTGAATATCATTCACCAGTTTTTTTTGTTTTTTTTTTTTAAGATTGCAGTTGCTTTACAGGTTGAAATGATTTTGTCAAGGGTTAGACTCGGTTCACGAAACAATCGTTCGCGCAAAGCCACGTCTCGTATCCCAATGATGATACGATCACCAATGAGCCTGTTTTCTGGAGCTCCGTAGTTGCATTTCTGAGCATGCAGTTTTAGCTCAGTTACAAATTCGTCGATGGTTTGTTCTGGCTTTTGGCTCATTGTGTTAAAAATGGCTGTCGCTTGTGTGACGCTTTTGTAAGCTGCATACAGTTTATCAAATTCGTGCAGTATGTAATCTATTGCATTCTCTCTTTGCCCGCTTTGAGCATCTCCCGTTGGTTGCAGAGGAAAGGTTTGCGTAATACGTCTTGCCTGAGGTCCAAGGCAGTGGAGCAGAAAAGCTTTCCGAGTTGCGATAGGCTTGGATGCATATTCACAGGCTGCCTCAAAGATAAGGTACGATGATTTCCACTCCCATGCTCTTGCTGGGTCGTCACCAGGTTGGAACGGAGCCGGCGGTTGTAGGAAAGCAGATGCCATATTGTTGCTGCTGTTGCTTGTTAAATAAAAAATATGGACGTTGAGCTGTTCACCACTTCTGGCACCATGTTGCTAGTTAAGCTCAGGAGGATGGTTTAAGCAAATTGTTTAGTAAGTAACATACGGGATCAAAGCAGCAGCTATGGCGATTGCTCGTCAGTTCCAAACGCAACAGCGCGTGCCACCCCCTGCGAGCGTGCTCACTGGATGTCCTCTTCTTCTAAGACCAGAGAGCCTCATGACATCATAAACATCACATATACTAACTCAAGAGGAAAACGTCTGCCATTTTCCCATGCATTCTGGCTGCCGCAAGTGGCGAAGCATGGAGGCATACCTTCGGGGTCCCACACATGCTTACCAACTGCCTTCAATATCACGAATATTTTTATATATTCAGAGCAGTTTCATGAACTTCAACAATCCACGTACTCACCGGTGGAAATATATTCGCGTTCCTTTCGAAGCTTTCTTTTTGCATAGCTGGCATGTGTAAGGCCTGGCGTCAACGCAAAACTAAACCAGTTAACGGGCTTCGCGGGTGGGGCGCGAGTGGGCGCGCCCCTGGAATACGAAACCGCGCAACCACCAGATTTCCGAGATTTCGACAGAAGGGAAGTTAATGCAGCGTAATGATTATAGTGCTTTTTATAAGCGTTAGAATAGTTCAGAATTTAGATCCATACCATACCAGCTCGACGCGCGTGGAGCGAAAGCTCGCGCTGCAGAGCCCAGGGATCCTGGGTTCGAGCCCCACCCCTGCCCGTTTCGATCTGGATGAGCATCGTACCGGCGTGCGGTCGTGTATCACTACTGCGTGAGCACGCTAAAGACCCCAGGTTAGCAGTCGTACTGCACTGGCAAAATTGCTCATCTACAGTGTAAACCAGTGTCGCCCCTACTGGCAGACCAACCTTAGGCTGTATAAATCACTAAAAACGTCCAATTTGACTTTTTTTTTCTTTACCACACATTCTCTTTCTGACATGGACCGTTGACTTAAGCGGTGGAGATGCGTTCCCATGGCTTCTAGCAGATCCAAGCTCATCCGCTAAACGAACCACTGGCTCTGTATTTCACCGACCATAAAGCAGTAATAATGAAGTCGAAACGGCAACCCGGAACTCAGCACTACCTATGAGCAAAAAAAAAAAAAAAAAATCAGCACCATTAGCACTACCTATGAACAATAAAATCGGTATCCTCAGCACCGGAGCTTCGCCCTGGGGGTACAAAGTACACGGGAACAGCAGTAAATACAGAGTCATCGAGCAAAACGATCACTTTACGCGGCTTCTACAGAGAGGTAGCAGACACCATTGATTTCCTCAGAAGACGGTTTACCGGTGACTTCTTAGAGACCTGTTCCAAGAAGAAGTTACTTAAATGTCTACTAACTTCTTTGTTTCAGGATCCACTGTACCGATTGGGTGTATTTGCTGCTCCCCCTAACTGCAAAACTGATGTTTTAAAAAGAGTCAAACGCTTGCCCATTCCACCGAAGTGCAAGTCGTTCTTTTTTCGCTTTCACTCGCGGACAATACATGTAAAGGAGTGGCGAGAGTCACGGGGTTTTGACGTATTTTGGAGCACAAACTGCAGGCTCTGCAAAACATCTGAGACATACAGTCATGCATTTGTGCTCTGTGTTGATGCAGTCTTTTTCTGGGACGTTTTCAAGAGGACAGTGAAAAAAGACTTTGAAGTCGAAGAAAGTAATTTTCGTTACCTACATTTTCGAGACCAGTTAGATACGATTCTCGACAAATTAGTTGTGCTAGGTTTATATAGCCTGTGGAAGACACGGAAAGTAGATACGGACGGAGGGGTAGCCGAACCGTCTTGGGTGAACTTTAAGAATATTGCCGCATTCGTTTGTCAGAGCATACTAACGTGCTGCGAAGATGATGAAGAATGGAAACAAGCCATAGAAGGCATCAGTCGTTCCCCTGACGTCATATGAGTCTGTGTCACAAGACCAGGATTTTATCACTTAGGGTCCTCTTTGCCAACTCCCTGTAGAGGAAAACTGAAGTGTGCTGTACATCCTTTGTTTCCAACTATTTCCGAGCTTTCTAATATTTCTAGTAACACTCTCCTTGTATAGGTTGACAACCGTTCAATTTTTTGTTTCTTTGACGCTTTGTACATAATGTAAATTGTATATAGTGTTCTCGTGTATATACCCATGTAAATAAACACTTAAAAAAAACAGCCGTGGCCGAGTGGTTAAGGTGATGGACTAGAAATCCATGGGGTCTCCCCGCCCGCACGGGTTCGAATCGTGTCGACTGCGCAAACATTTTTTTTTTTTTTTTTTTAAGAAGACAGATGGGATGGCAATTGATGTGAGCACGAAAGCCGGACGGACAACGCTCGACCCTAAGGAGCTTCGCCCCTAAAACTCTGAAGAAAGACTAGGTACTCGTTTCTGTCCCATACCGTCGTCTAAATGTAGTCTTAAGGCAACACAGACAACCTTTTAGCAGCGCCCTTTGTACTGGGAGAGTTTGTCACTCTTTAGAACATGCCTGGAAGTCAGGCAACCGTCAATTAGCGTCAATTGGCAAGAAGTGGCACTGAATTTCGGACCCACCCTCAATTAGGCACGCCAGACATGCGGTGAACCGTCATCGTGATGAGTGTTTCTCGTTAAGATGAGACTCTTTGGTGCTGTATAAACAATCAACCGCTCAAACTTGTTAAAAGAAAAAAAAAAAAAGCTTATTATAAGGTATGGTTTTGGAGATAAATGGAATGTGACCGGAGCTTGGATAGAGTGAAACATTTCAGGCCTAAAAAAGTGGAAATACAGGAAATTGTTTATATAAAACACGCTCTCACCTCGAATTTGAACTTGAGCATTGAGAGTGTAGTGGCCAACAGCAAAAATATCCTTACTGTGCATCTAAAAGTCCGATTTTCTTAGCGGGCGACCAGCGCGAAATTTCTTTTTGAGTTGGATGGTCACACATTATTGGCACTACTCTAAGAATATTATAATCATACCAATTTAGTAGTACATGTCATGCATATTTGACGTTTGTAACTTAAGTGCACTTTTAATTAACTTTAAATAAACCATATATAATAGTTAAAATACGTTCCTTATACATTAAAAATATATCTTTTGCATATTATTCCAGTCTCGGTTCTAGTATATTTAATACATATTTTACGCATGTTGGTATATATTTATAAATATATAAGTATGTTTCCATATTTTGGTAATATTTTAAAAAGTTATGAAAAATATGCTTATTAATTTGTGATACTGCAAAATATCTAAAATATTTGTCGCCATAATTGTGGTCAATTCTTAAATAAAAACCAAAGATATGTTCACATATTTCTGGCAGACGTTCGATGTATATGGCAAGTATATTTCGAGTTCAGTAGTCATGCATTTGTATTATAATTTTGAGTTTGGACAAAATATACGAAATAATATAAAATTAAAAAAAAAAAAAGGAAGACGCCCAACTAAGCCTTAACTGGGAACTTTACATGTCGATGCCTACTCGGCTCTTCTTCAGGGGTGACTATGGGGATGGCCGCCGAGGAGCAGCGTTTTTGTTTTTCTCTTTTTTTACGGTGGTGCATTTCTTTTTGAGTTGGTCATGTCTCGAAGCCCGTGGACGTGCGCAGATGGTGAAGTGCCGAGAGATCTATTTATGTTTTCTGGCGTAGTTTGTACGTGCCATGACTCCAAGAAAATTCGCTGTCGGTGGTTGGTTTCAACGTAGAGAATGCGGGTGTTCTTTAACTTAATGAGGTGGTCTTTGACGTCGGGGTGTTTAGCAGCCGCGCTTCGCTCGTGGTTGAACTTGCGAACGACGTTTCGTTGTTGGCAGATCCTCTCCCGAAATTGTCCAACGCATGCATGTACGGGCATACGCTGGACAATCCGCGCATGGAATCCTATAAATGACACCTTGTGCTTTTTCTTTAGGGAGACGATTTCTTTGCTCCTGGCATAACTCGTCCAAGTGTCAATATTAATTGGCTCGTGGGGCGTCTGGATCCCCTCTCAAGCCAGCACACGTACTAGCGCTTTACTTGTTCAAATTGAAGGGCTTTAAAACCATAAAAATACCAGGGTGACTGTGGCCATCGCCATAGTCACACCTAAAGAACAGCCGAGTAGGCATCAAAACGTAGGGTTCCCAAATAGGGCTTGGTTGGACGTCCTCCATTTTTGATTATTCCACCAGCCAGACTGATCTCTGTCGAATGTTGGCGTCCAAATATAAAATAAATATGCGTATTAAATATATTCAAATATATTTAAGTTATTTCCATTTTCGCTAAGGGTGCATGTCAAGCAAAAAAAAAAAAAAAAGCTGTCAGCAGGCATTTTCGCATGCAGCAAGCATATTTGAAGCGCTTCGAACGTGCCTGAGGCGGCAGATGATTCTGTCACACCGAGAATTTTGTGCGATGTATGAGAATCATAAGTCTCGGTCCTTCCGCCTCTCTCTCTCCCCCCCCCCCCCCCCCCCCCCGCCCCTTTCCCTGTAATCAGATATCCGAAATCGAGCTGTTGACTAATCACTTCCCTAGCCTTTCCCAACAGGACCGGATCCAAAACTCCGTTTTTTTTTTGTTTTTTTGAGGGGGGGGGGGGGGGGGCGGAAAATTGGAAAGGATACCATTCGCCCATTCTTTCTTGTGCACCGGGTGGTTCACCCATGTCAAATTTCCTCCGGGAAGGGGGGAGAAGAGGGGGTCGACTTTGTTTGGGGGAAGGGGGGGGGGGGGGGCGCGCCCCCGTCGCCCCACCACTTCGATCCGCCCCTGTTTCCACACACGCTTCCGCGGAACCAGATTTACGGAGAACCGACGAGCCTCCTGAGCTCAGCAGAGAGCGTCCGGACAGCGTTCCCGTAAGCGGGGTCGTCTGCGACGTTGCGATCTTCCCGTGGGTCCTTCCGGAGGTCGTACAGTTCCCTGGCGACCAGGTCGGTCCAGTTTCGGTACGCCGTGGTCGCATTGAAGCCCAGCCACTCGGTGTAGCGGTAGTCGACCGAGAGCACCGAGTAGCCCATGAAGCGGATATCCTCCGCGTCTGGTTGGTCGCTGTTCGTCTGGGGCTCGACCGAGGGCCGGGGATACTGGGTCAGGACTTGATGGCGTCTCACAGCGTCGTCCTGCAGAACCGGGAAGGACTGGTTATGCGACGATGTCGCGATCAGTTTCACTTGATCGCACTTAGAAACGTCGGGTCGGAACTCCCGTCCTACGCCTCAAAGAGGCGTCACTTCCGGTTAACCCGCGCGTACTCGTCACGGTCGAAAGACTGCTCAATTTGTTTCCTTCTCAACCAGTTCACTGTGACCTCTGCCTTAGGCAATATTTTTTTGTTCAGTCGCATTTTTATATGGAACAGGAGAGTATTTATTTTATATTGTGGTAGTTGTGCCACAGAGACGACGAAGAGGTCGGCAAGCGCAAGCGCTGAGCTCTTCGTCGTCTCTGTGGCTCAACTACCACAATATAATAGTAAATTGTAGCAAGTGCATAAAGTTAACACCCTAAAATGTATATATATACATATATAGAATGATCTTGTTCGATTTGTTACCTACAGCAATGGATTCAGTGACGATAAACTTTTGCACATCTCGCTGTCCCTTCCCATTTTGGTGAAGATGGCTGTTAAAAAGGTGATACGGGATTACAGTAGAGCAGATTTCGTGTCAATGAACAGAAATCTGACCACTTTCTTGCAGTCGTATCAAATCGATTTTAATCTAAGGAGTGTGAATGACAACTGGATTTTATATAAAAATGAATTGAATGACCTTATTCAGGCATTTGTTCCTACTCTGCGGATCCGAAGTGATGGTTAAATCAAATTTGGGGGTTTTACGTGCCAAACCTACGACGGGCATCTGGCACGCCCCAGCGGAGGACTGAGGATTAATTTCGACCACCTGGGGATCTTTTGACGTGCAACCGAAAGCTCGGTTACACGGCGCCTTCTCCGCAATAAGCCTCCGTCATATTGCGGGCACCTCGGTCGGGATTCGAACCCGCCACCTGGGGATCCGTAGGCCGGCGCTCTCGCCTCGGAGCCACCGAGGCGGCTCGAAGTGATGGTTGCCAGCCCTGGTAAAACAAAAGACTTAAATCACTTGGCAATAAGAAAAAACGCCTCTTTCGCAAAGCAAGACTGACCAGCTGTTCAAATATTTGGGAGAAGTATTATGATTGCCTTAAGGATTATAATCATCTAATAAAAGCTTCAAAAAGAAAATATTTTAATCAGGACCTTCCAACTGTCCTTCAGGACAACCCCAAAAAGTTTTGGAATATAATCACGTCAAAAAACAACAATGATATCATTCAACTTGTCGATGAGGGTGGCAACCCAGTTGAGGAAAAAATGTGCTCAGAGGTAATGAATACCTTTTTCGCATCCATCTTCACGGACGAGTGTCCTTTAAATGTGCCTGAGCTACCCGCTGTTCACTACGAGCCCATGACTCCTATCAACGTTTCTTCGGCCGGTATTGCCACTCTTATCGATGGGCTCAAGCTTTCATCATCCTCAGGGTCAGATAACATATCATCGAAGATTCTGAAAAATACTAAGATTGTATCTAGTGATATTTCGCAACTGATATTTAATCAGTCACTATCCGAAGGTTGCCTCCCATCCGATTGGAAAGTAGGTAGGATTGTTCCAGTCCACAAAAGTGATGATCGTTCTTTGCCTTCTAACTATCGTCCCATTTCACTAACTTCCGTTCCATCTAAACTTCTTGAACATATCATTTATTCGCACATAATGCCGCATTTAGATTACAATGACTTCTTCTACCATCACCAACATGGCTTTCGCAAAGGTTACTCTTGTGAGACGCAACTCTTTGAATTTACACATGACCTTCATTGCAGCCTTCAATCTCGCAACGAAACAGGCGCAATATTTTTAGACTTCTCCAAGGCATTTGATCGTGTCCCACATATTCGTTTAATCTCTAAACTTTCTCGCCTTCATCTAGACCCCCACGTCTTAATGTGGATACGTATAATTTTCTTGACTCGCGAAGGCAGTACACAGTCTTAAATGGGTACGAATCTGATTTAATTAATGTCACATCTGGCGTGCCCCAGGGCACAGTCCTTGGGCCTCTTCTTTTTCTAATATTTATTAATGACCTTCCAAATTCTATTTCTTCTCACATACGTATTTTTGCAGACGACTGTGTTCTATATCGCGAGATCACTTCACCTAATGACCGCAAACTCATCCAAAAGGACCTAGATAATATATCTCAGTGGTGTAACAACTGGTTGATGCCACTAAATAAATCTAAATGCAAATTAATCCACTTTTCTCGTAAAAGAGTTCCTTCCTCCTTCCAGTATGTGCTGGGCGACGAGATCATTGAAGAAGTCGATAGGTATAAATATCTCGGTGTCGTACTAACATCCGATATGACATGGATTAATCACATTAACACAATTTCTTCGGACACAGCAAGGACCCTTGGTTACATCCGGCGTTGCATGAATGCTGCTCCTCCAAAGCTTAGGAAACTTGCATACGAAACCTTCATTCGACCAAAATTGGAATATGCATCTACAATATGGAATCCGCACCAAAATTACTTGATCACCCAACTCGAAGCAATTCAAAACCCAGCAACCCGCCACATTTTATCAAACTATGACTATAAAAACAGTGTCTCTGCCATAAAAACGAGCCTAAATTTATCAACTCTGGAGGTACGCCGCAAGGTTGCACCGTCTTTGCTTACTCCATAAACTTTAACACTACCATCCCACTGTTCGAAGCTCATTCCTGCGCACTCCCGCACGGTCACCTCGTGGGCTCAATAACTCTTACAATTTTCAACGTATATCGGGTTCCAGTAATGCCTTTAACAAATCATTTCTCCCACTCACAATTGTGAACTGGAACGGTCTTCCAGAATCGCTCATTACTATAACTGACCCTGTGGTTTTCAAAAGCTCCATCATGTTGTATTTTTCCACACCAAGTTAGGTTTTTTAGCTACGTTGCATGAGTGTGCGTTGTTATGTATCTTTATGTTTTTTTTTGTTTTTTTCATTTATTGTATAATTTCTTGTGTTGCCCCCTCCTTATGTAATGTCCTCGAAAGAGGACCCTTAGGGATAATTAAATGAAATGAAATGAAATATATATATATATATATATATATATATATATATATATATATATATATATATATATATATATATATATAAAGCTCCTTAGTCCCCTTGTAACGCCAAGAAAGTCATGAAAATTTTCAAGACAAACAGGCTGACGAAAGTTCCACGTAGGCAATCGTATTCACATTGCGTTGGTAGAGCCATGTTTACCCTATACATATATATAAGGAACTGCATAACAGAGTAAAGTGCTCGCAGACAATGCTTATTCTCTTGCATGCCTTGTACGCCAAGCAAATCTATTTGATATGATGATAATGCAATTAATGCAAAGGTGCAAGCGAGCTGGACAGGAATGTAATCCATGGAGAAGTGTTATGCCCGAGTACCATTAGACCGACAAACAGAAACAAATGACAGCGACACGTTTCCCACACATGCAGCATGCTCGCCTTTGGGAGGAATTTAGTCGTTCGGTGCTTGCGAAGTAAGCACGAGCGATTGCAAGCCTGCCAAAGATACCCTAGCGTTCATGATGCTCGTGTTTGAGCGTATATAGCCTCCTTTATTCTATAAAGCCCGTCAAATTGCGAAAGTCTCTGGTTTGAGGCTTGACGCTGTCGTTTGTTTCTGTTTGTCGCTCTAGTGCGACTCGGGCATAGCAAGGGGCACAAAGGACAAATAACAATCTCCAAACACAGCTAGGTGACTAATGCGCGAGCTAACCAAAACCCTAATTGTTATAATGAAAAAAGAAAAAAAAAGCTTTTTGTGCGCGTTTTATTTCTGGTTTCTTTATTATTATATTTTTTTGCTGTTAATAAGGGGGTTTTGTAGATCGTTTTCGCTGTCCTGCAACGCCCTCTGCAACTTGATACGAGAACCGGAACTCTGCAGACAAGGCTAGCGTAGCGGCGCGCGTGAGAAGTGGTGACGTCTCTGTCGCTGAAAGCCAAAAGAAGTGAGAAAAAAAAAAAAAAAAAAAGAAATCTTTCTACGAAAGCTCCCTAATATACTGGGTGTCTAATTTTAATTCCAACAGACTTCTTAAGAATGGGGTGTGAGAGTTCGCCGAGTTCTGTCTTCAGCGTGAATTTATTAGGCTCGACACGCCATATTTGACGGCGATGTTAAGAGCGCATGCCCAGAACGAGCTCACGTTAATAGCCTGCCAAGACCGGCAACCTTGATGGTGCTAAATGCACGCTCCAAAAGGACTGCGGAAGCTCGCCGTCAGCACGCGCTCAGCAGCCGCGCACACAGTTATGGCAGCCGGTGAATAGTCCCTATAGATGAGGGGCGAATCCTCATGGTAAGTTGACTAACTAAAAAACATATATTTATTAATTTTCTATCTAATGGTTTTAGGCGTCATGTTGGAATTTACGTATTGACGGCAATCACTATTCGAGCCAGGCTAATTTAAAGAATTTGCGAAAAAGTAATGGTTTTTATATATTAATCGATGAATTTTCACGTTCTCTCGTCCGATTTGAAAATTGCGCGCAAAAAAGAGCGCATCAAGCCAACACCACCTAGACATGAAGGCCTCCGCATGGTGCCCTCTCCCTTCATGAAACGTCATCAGAGTCGGATCGCGCTAACTCGGCTATTGGGCCCGAGTCCGACCTTCGACGCCCTGATTGGACACGAGCCCCAACCGAACACTGACACAGCACTCGGGCCCAACCTCACTCCTCGATCGACCTGACTGTGATGACGCGTGCGGAGGCCTTCTCTCGAGGTGGTGTTGATCAAGCCAACAGCGATCAAGCCCTGCCCGCAATGACTCGCAATGAAGAGTGAAGTAGTCGTTTAGGTCACGTCGTCACTTGAGTTGGTGGCGCACCCACCTAGGACACGCTGCCGAAATTGCGACATGACTGAAACGACCACCGCTGCCTTCTAAGCATCATTATAAGCAAAGTTAGGGACATTCAGTTGTTTCCTTTTAGCGTAATTTTTAAATCAGGTGAAAGAACGCGAATATGCATCGATTAATACCGAGAAAGAACATTACCTGTTCGCCGATTACATTCAGTGTCTTGCAACTCCCCCATGCTCCCTAAAATTAAAAAAATAAAAAAATTAAAAATGAAAGACGTTTACAACTCCCTGTAATGCCGAATTAGAGCGTAGCCCCTGAGGAGGAGGAGGGGAGGGTACGGAGAGGAGGGTATGTCCCTCCTGCTCCCTACTCTCTCCTCCTCCTCCTCTACTCCTCCTCCCGGATCTCCTTCCCTCCCCTTCTCCTCCCTCATCCTCCTCTCATTCTCCTCGCCTGCTCCTCACCCTCCTTTTCCCCCTTCCTCACTCCCCCTTCGGGACATCACTCGTGACCCTAGTAACCCCCGTGACGTCACGAGTGAAGGTAACATGAAGGTCGTGACCTTGCGAGTGTCTTTGGTAATGTCACTCGTAACCCTCGTGACCGTCGTGACGTCACTCGTGACCCTGGTGACGCCACACGTGACGTCACGTGTGACGTCATTATCAGAAACGTCCCATAATGCACCGCGCGGGTCACCAGTGAGACCCGCGCGTTGCATTATGAGACGTTTCCCATAATGCAACACGCAATTACGCCGACGTCGACGACGACGGCGACGCCTACGCCGCTCAAGCCGGAAACGGGCGCCTAAGAGCTGCGCTCTATAAGATAATGAAAAGATTTTAGTTAGTCAACTTACTGTGATGATTATCCTCTCATCTAATGTCCGCCGAGCTTGATAAATACATGGTGAAGACAGAACCCGTCTAACTCTAAACCCCTATTTTAAAAAAATCTCTTTGAATTAAAGTCAAACACTATATATAAACTACATCTAAGCAGCTAGCTCAACTTTCTATGGTATGAGATATATTTGCCGTGAAAGAAGCATGCCTTTACACCTACACCTTGAGGTGTAATTATTGCGCGTGTAACTGCGTATGAGAGTCTCCCGCCAGCGTAGACGGCGTACCAGGTTCACTCCATCCGTGCAAGTTTCGGTCGATGCACCCGGGGAACCGCAGTCGGGAGGCACCGGAAGCCCTGCCAGGGACGCCAGGGTAGGGAACAGGTCCAGCAAAGACACGGGCTCCTGCACCACGATGGTGTCCACCGGGGAACGGCCGTGTCGGGAGTAACCTGGTTCCCGGAAAGACACCTCGGGCTCCGATGACGGTGGCGGAGACACAATGAACGGCACTCTGGTGGCCGTACGGAAGTTGCTGTACTTGGAGAACTCCTGGTGCTCCCCGAGAGCCCAGCCTGAACAAACATGAAGGGCGACTTTTACTGACCAGGCAAAACAAAAAAAATGTAGAAAGAAGACAAATATTGGGCTTCTCTGTGGTCCTTGTTCCGCGAAATCCAGAAAAGGACATAGATACGAAGGCGGGACCATGCGGAGCTGAAGGTCGTCTGCAGGCTTCATGCGCAGGGGTGGCACCGACGTCAGAACACGGAGCTTTGATCGGCCATGATAGGAAGTATACTATGGTGGGCAGACCTCACTGCTATCTGCCATGAGGTCTACCCCCTACCCTTCAATCAAAGCCGATCAGAGCTGGGTGTTCTGACGTCGCCGGAACTCCTGCGCAAGAACCAGACGAACTTCAGCTTTCGGACTGACAAGGTGAGAATGAAAGCGAGGAGCTTTAGTTATCCCGCCTCCAGAGCGAGCTCCTCTACCTTCGACCATGCTTCGGAATCTCGGGCACCTCGAGCTCGCGCGCGCAACCAAAGCACAACGGAAGGCATGAAACGCGTTCTAGAGGCCGAGCGTTCGAAAGGCACGCCTATACCTTTCTGGCTCTGTCAGTGACTAAAGGTCTTCTTCACTCTAAGAAAAAGGGGGCGTACACGGGTACTCCTCTTTTCCCATATGTAACTCCCCAAAACTACATTTCGTCGTTCTGTCCACTGACGTCGAGCTGGCGATGCCAACTTTTACGAGCGGCTTGATAGTCGACCGATACAACTTATTAAAACAGCTAATGTACTCATTAAAGGCTACATTGCGACAATCAAGGTTTTTTTTTTTGGCCCTGCTGCAAAGCCTCAGTAATTTTTGTAGCATGAGCTACACTGGCCGAGGTTGAGCAGTTTCGCGTGGCTCCCAACGAGCCGGGCTGCGCGTGCGCGAGGAGCAGTGACGTCACACGGCGCACAACTGGCGCGCCGGAGCCGCTGCCGCCGCGCGCTCCACCGCCGCCGCGCGCACCTCGCCGGGCATTACAGAGGAGTAACGTCATAGCCGCGGCAGAAGCACTGCCACCGCCGCGTGCCCAGCTGAGCGCCTCCGTTGCGCAGTAGCCAAGTCTGACGCTGCACCAGAGCCGCTTGATAGCGCCTCTCATTTTGTGCGCATAAGCTCAAGCTACGTATATCCTGACATGGCCGAGCTAAGCCACCGCATTTTTTTTAGATGCGGAGCTTGCTCGGGTCCATGTCCCGCGGCGTCGGCGTCGTAGTCCGTACTCACACTACGCATGCGCAACTCTCCTCCTTCCCTCTCTTCAACAGCTGCGCGTTACTCTCTCCGCTCTCCCTCTCTCTCTACCAGCTGCGTGCACTTCGCGTGCGTTCGCTTCTACTCACACCGCGCGCGCATGCGTAACTCTCCTCCTCTAGTCTCCTCTCCAAGTGTGAATATAAGCAGCGGTAGCGCGCTGCGCGCGTTCAGTTCACCCGCTGTTGACTCCACTTCACTCCGTTCTTCCGATGAAGTGTGATGGAAGCAACAGTCCCGTCAGTTAGTGGGTTGGCGCAAGCAAGCGTCAGCACCACCCCACAAACTAACAGCAACGCTACGTCCACTGAAGACAAAGCTGCGCAGCGAAGGGCACGTGCAGCCGTGGAGCAGTACATCGACGAGGCCATGGGTGACTACCAAAAGCAATACGCAGACACACATCCTTTCATGCACATTGGCGACTTTAATCTCAACGTCATGAAGAGCCATATTGGATAGTTGAGTACATGTCATCACACCACTCGCTGCAACACGTATCATACGACGACCGCAAACAACAGCCAACTACCATTCACGGCACATGCATTGATCACGTCTTCGCCAATTTCAAGATCCACCCACTGCACCAAGATCCCCTCACGGTTCACTTCAGCGACCACAAAGCCATCCTCATCAAAGCAAAGTGCACACCTCAAGTACGAGACGCTAGTCAATAAAGACCTTCGTTAACCGTTAGACCTTCGTCTACGCAATTAAAAAAATTGCACCATCTTCCCGAGGGGAACCATGGGGTGATGCGGAGCATCGCGGAGTTTCCAACAACGTTCGCGATGTGTGGTAACCAAAGCAAGTTAACAACGTAATAACACGCAAGTTAACAACGTTACTAACAACGTTACTAACACCGTTAATAACACCGTTAATAACGATCCGCGATGCTCCGCATCACCCCATGGTTCCCCTCGGGAAGATGGTGTCATTTTTGTCTTTGATACGCACATTAGCTATTTATTATGTTTTATCCAACAGCTATCAAGCCGCTCATAGATGTTGGTATCGCCAGCTCGACGTCAGTGGACAGAACGACGAAATGTAGTTTTGGGGAGTTACATGTGGGACAAGGAGAGTACCCGTGTACACCCCCTTTTCTTAGAGTGTTATGCTCGCTATGATTAACTCCCACGTTAATATTTTGGGGCTTGTTCTGCGCTTTTAGCATTATTACGTTGTCCATATTTGCATCCTACTTTTACTGACGTCGAACTGCAACGATTTGGGATCATGCATACTTTTGGGTTGCTGATGGCGCTTTATATTTCCACGAGAGCGATGTAAGCTGTCGCAGGGCCGGCGGCGACCCTTCGATTTTCTTAGCATCATCTTTTTTACACCTTCATTGGTGCACATACGTGGCATGTCTCGTCGCTAACACCGCTATACGCCATCTTAAGGCATATTTAAAGGGGATTTAAAAGGTAATAAAGGTTAGTGTCATCGCAAGGCCGAATTGCCCTTTTGTAAAGGCACAGATATAAAAATGGACAAAAATAACTAATTGCACAACTAACTATAGCTAATTTATTCGTATTTTGGGCCGGACGGACCAACAGAAGGCCTAGCAAAGGGACAGTCCTACTGAAAAAAACCATTTGGCGCCTATATGAAAACAAACGGGTCCATACCGGTAACAGTTTAACCATACCGGTCACCAGTTTGTCAAAGGGGTCGCCCGTATGGCTCAAAGGGGTCCCCCGTATGAGCCATAACGGTCACCTATTTGGACAAACAGGTCACTCCTTTGGCAAACGGGTCGCTCGTCTGGGCAAATGGGTCGCTCGTCTGGGCAAATGGGCGACTCGTTTGGGCAAAGTTGTCGCACGTTTGCTCAAACCGGTGACCATGTAGCAAACTGCACCGGATTAATCAAACGGCTCTCCGGAGCCCGTTTCATACTGAACGTACAGATCGGCGGCGTAGGCACGCCTAGCGTTTCAGCCGTGGCAGCCAATGTTTCCGGAAGGCTGGGAGCGCCGGCTCATCGATTTCAGATCGTCCGCGTAATGCAAGTAATTATATTTATATTTAAATTGCGCTGATGTTCGCTAATACTGCAACTAAAACTAACACTTTTTTTTTACGTGAACGCGCGACGTTGGTGAGCCGATATTTTTGACAGAACTTTAAAGCTTTGTCCATCTTTGTTGCCTCAGTTTACTTATTCAGCTCGAATCTCTCTCGCAGAAGACGCGACCGCGTGAAAGAATGTACGTCTAGACTCCGTTTCACTTTAATTCAAGACGCAGCGAAGGTAGCACGCGTACACGCGGCTGCAAGAACATCGAGCATTGCGAGAGCACGCCCGCCGTTGCAGCAGTGAAACTACGAGCTCGCGCTGAGTACTTTCTTCGCTCGGACGCAAGCCGAGCTTCTGGCGGCCCCGCCGCCATTTCCAAGATTCAAACGCGCTAAAATGCGCGCGCGCGCGCGCGTGTCTTTTTTTTTTTTTTTCGAGGTTACAAAAACACATCTCTCTGGAATGCCTGGGGAGAGGGAGAGGGGCTGTCCCAAAAAATTCCTGTCCCTGTGGTGCTCGCCCCCTCCCTCCTCTCTTGTCACCCGAAAAGCCGCGCGCGAGCTACACGCTGATAAGCATCGAGATCCGGAAAGGTGCGCCTTGCAGCCGCTTTTTTCTTTTTCTGCTTGTTGTCAGTTCTAGCTCGAACTTCGCGCGTCCACCTGCTTCGATCTGTCGCCTAACCCTGCGGTCTTATTAGGATGTCTCTCGACAACGTATTGGATGTACACCAAAGCTATCAGCCCAGGTGAAAATGTCTAACTGGGACCAGTTGAAAATCTAACTGGTTTCAACTGGGAGTCAACTGGGTTCAACTGGTTTCAACTGGGAGTCAACTGGTTTCAACTGGTTCCAGTTGGGAGTCAACTGGTTTCAGTTGGGAGTCAACTGGTCCCAGTTGGGAGTCAACTGGTCCCAGTTGGGGGTCAACTGGTCTCAGTTGCGGGTCAACTGGCCCCAGTTGGGAGTCAACTGGCCCCAGTTGGGAGTCAACTGGTCCCAGTTGGGGGTCAACTGGTCTCAGTTGCGGGTCAACTGGCCCCAGTTGGGAGTCAACTGGCCCCAGTTGGGAGTCAACTGGTCCCAGTTGGGGGTCAACTGGTCCCAGTTGGGGGTCAACTGGTCTCAGTTGGGGGTCAACTGGTCCCAGTTGGGGGTCAACTGGTCTCAGTTGGGGGTCAACTGGTCCCAGTTGGGAGTCAACTGGTCCCAGTTGGGAGTCAACTGGTCTCAGTTGGGGGTCAACTGGTCCCAGTTGGGAGTCAACTGGTCCCAGTTGGGAGTCCACCGGTCCCAAATGGATCCCAGTTGGGGGTCAACTGGTTTTGGTTAGGGGGCAACTGGTTTCAGTTGGGGGTCAACTGGTCAGTTTCAGGTTAGGTGGGACCAGTTGGAAGCCAACTGGGACCAGTTGAAGAGGTAACAGGAACTTGTCTTGATATTTTGCAGTTAAAATGCAACCGGGACCAGGTGCCATGTTTGAACCCAGTTAGAGCTGTCTGGAGCGCTAGCTTGAACTGCTCCCAATGAGATATATCTCGAACCAGTCGGTTCAAATGGAACTAGTTCACTTGGGTGCAGTTCTAGCTAGCCCCAGTTGGAGAAGCTAGCACCGAGCTTGCCTCACTTCTCCTGAATACCTTTGACAAGATACAAAACGGAGTGCATTGTCAGAGAAATACAATTTTAGGTGGTTGTGAAAATTGGATTCCATAAGTT